TATCCCATCACCTCACTGCATGCGCCCCGGGCACAGTTCTTAGAAATGTTTGAGCGACAAATGTTTAAACAGCCAAAATTCAATCTGAGGTGCAGCAAATAGATCGAATCCCAAGCCAGTTTGCTGCAAATTGAACCGCCAGGTAACCCTCCCCTCCCCGGGCTCTCTGGGGGGAGAAGATCGGACCATCTTGTCTAGATTGGTAGTCGAAAGGTCTCTGGCTGGGTTGATATTTTGCTAAATTCGAGTTTGCGTTGCCCTGGTTTGTTGAACTAGTCACAACTAGTTCACAACATGTGCTCTTCCCCCCTCTCTGAAAAGGGGGGTGCATATAAATGTAGCTGCCCTGGAGGCTTCCAGATGTAATTTTTCCTTTCTTCTTTCTTATTTATTTATCAAGTTTGGGTACCACCCATCTCTGTCTCGGAGTGAGGCTGCTTCCTGGCGTTGCTGCCATCTGTGGTTGGTTTATTTTAAAGTTGTTGACATTTTTATTTACCATAGTTTAAGAAGTAGTATTGAACTACTTTGGGAGAATTGTTGTTCTCTCTTGGAAAGGGGCTCTCGCTGGATGTTGGAAACTTTCTAGGAGGGCTTTGTTGAACAGGGGGATTTAAGCTCATTGGTGGTTGGCTGGTTTTAGCCTAAAGATTTTAAAGGCAAGGTGTGAACTCTTCAGAACACTTCTGACATACTAGTGACTAGTATTGTGCAATTGATGCTCAGTGTTACATTGATAAAAGGTATCAAATGAAGTATGTTGAGTTGTTTTCATAATAATAAAAAGGGTACTTTGAGCTTAGTTACAAAGTTAGTTCTTCTGTGTTCTCCACTGTTTTATTGTATGTAGATATATATGTTTTATATATATATATATATATATATATATATATATATATATATATATATATATATAATATATATATATATATATATATATAAACTTCCCTGGGAACAGCACAGATAAATATTTCATTTTTGACTTGCCCCTTCTTTGTTTTTCACTGCTTTGCATTATCTAGTGGGGTAATAACTTCCAGCTCATTTGATTATTGCATTAGTGTTTAATATATGGAAATGCCAGTCTGTCGAAATTAAGTTTATGGTTAGCAGCTTAGAAGGTTCTGTTAAATTAAGTAAAATACTGAAAGTACCTGCTGCTCCCTTCCATGGGGGCTGGCTGAACAGCTTTGCTGCCCCCAAGCCCAGGAAAACAGGTTCTGAAGGCTTCCTCAGATAATTGGGAAGAGGAGGTAGCTGTGCCCACCCCTGTTTCTGATGAACGTCTTGCTCCTTTTACCCTCCTGCTGTACCAGGCCTCTGCCTCTTGCAGCCTGCCTGTGAAAAGGGAGCCCGGGAAACATCCGTTTTAAGTTCCTCCAGTTAATCTCTTCACATCATCGCCAGAAGGTGGCATGACTGATTCTGAATAAGCATTACCTCACTTTTAAGTCTTTCAAAAACTCCATTGTGTAATAAACGTTGCCCCCGTGGGTGTTACAGGGTTCCTGGCTGACATACAGAGAGCAGCCAGATTGATGAGTTTTAATTCAAGTTGCAGTGTTATTAATTAGTACTCAACGTGTAGTCTTCAACAGAAGTACATCTACAGGGGGGAAGTAAGCAGTGGGGTACCCCAAGGTTCTGTCTTGGGCCCAGTACTCTTCAATATCTTCATAAATCTAGAGGGAATAGAGAGGGAGCTCATCAAATTTGCAGACAATACTAAGCTGGCAGGAATAGCCAACACCCCAGAAGACAAGCTCAGGATCCAGAAGGATTTTGACAGACTTGAACAACGGGCCCTATCCAACAAAATGAAAATTAATGTGGAGAAAAGCAAGGTTTTACACTTAGGCAGGAAAAACCAACTGTATAAGTACGGGCTAGGTGAAACTTGACTTAATGCCAGTAACTGTGAGAGGGATCTTGGAGTCCTTGTGGACAATCACTTAAATATGAGCCAGCAGTGTGCAGTAGCAGCAGCCAAAAAAGCCAGTGCTATCCTAGGCTGCATTAATAGAGGGATAGAATCAAGAAACAGTGAAATTTTAGTACGCTTTACAAAGCCTTTGTAAGACCACACTTGGAATACTGCATCCAGTTCTGGTCATCACAATATAAAAAAGTTGTTGAGACACTGGAAAGAAGACAGTAAAAAGAATGATTAGGGAGCTGGATGCTAAAACATATGAAGAGCAGTTCCAGGAATTGGGTGTCTAAACTAATCAAGGAGAGAAGCAACCTAGAACTAAGGAGAAATTTCATAAGATTGAAAACAATCTACTAATGGAACGGTTTGCCTCACTGGAGGCTTTCAAAAAGAGACTGGGCAGCCATCTATCTGAAATGGTATAGGCCAGGGTTTCCTGCTCAAGCAAGGGGTTGGACTAGAAGACCCGACCAAGGCCCTTCCACCTCTATTATTCTATATTTGGTATACTAAATCCTATGATCTCATCAGGAACGTTTCCTAGTTTTTTAAAATGCAAAAGTTGTAGCTAGCTCAGTGAGGGCTGGGCTAAAAGGCACCCCTTTCTTTTGGAAAGCTGGAGTTCTGGGGTTAGTAAAGATGGATAATGGACTATCAAATTGTTGTCAACTCTTAGCAACCACCTAGAGAGAGTCTGGGATGATCTGGCCTTAACCTGGTCCTTCAGGTCCCCCAAGGGTGCACTCATCGCCCCCAAGCAACTGTCCGTCCTCCTTGCTGCTTGTCCTCCTCCTTCCTTTCGCTCCAGCAGTCAGAAGAGGACGTGGTGCCATGTAGGAAATGCAGCCCACCGTCTGTCTGTTGCAGTCACTTCCCAAAGAAAGATGAGGCAGCAGCTGTCTGAACTGAGGCGGGTCGAAAAGGGAGAGGAAAGGGGAGGCTGTCTAGACTGCCCCCCTCCAGAAGACAGGGCCCAGTGATGTTTCCTTCATACCCTGTGAATGGCTGTTTTTCAGGGGTAGAACACGCTACCTCACGCCGTAATGTGCTTGCGTTGGCTCTTCCTCGAAACAAGAAAGCCCAAGGTACTTTAATAAATCATTTTAGATAGCTGGGACAAATATCTACGGAGTTTCTTTGGTTACAACGTTTGGCTAATTGTCTGGCAAAATAATTTGAATGGCTCAGAGGACCGAGCCAGGTGTCCTACCAAATTATCTCTGATAGTCCAAACACAAGAAATTGTCTTCAGCCTCCCGATGCCTTGGTCCTGGTGGGCTACATGGACACATCGAAGCCAGTTTGTGGCAAGATGTAGAAAAGGGGTTGGATGTTGGGCTTAGGAGCTTTTGAGACCAGAAGAAACTCAGCTTTGAGGGCTCTACACTCAGCCATGCTTTCAAGGATTCAGAATTGATAAACAACAGCCCCCTCTGCTTGGTTGGGCAATGCTCTCCAATATCTGGGTTTTCCTAGCCGTTTCTAGTAGCAAAGAGTCGGTTGGGAGCTTTGACTGACCTAAGTTGGCTCCAACATGGGTGGAGGCTTGAATGCTGCTCCTTGCACCCTCTGTTCCCTCTCCCTGCAAGCTGATCCTTGCTAGAACTAGCTTGCTCTCTTTGCCCCTAAGCAGGCTGTCCAGGGTCTGCTGTGAGTGGCAGGCAGTGCATTAAGCTTGAACAGCTGATGACCCCATTGTCCTTCAGCCTCTGTGGTGTGCGCTATGGGAGAAGAGGCACCCATTGACTATTAATGACGCCCATTTGCTTTGATTGTTCTGGGGCTAAAGCAGGATGGGGGGGTGTTGCTGAGCCCACGTTTCCCCAGGACCTGAGGGGGCTCCTGGAAGGCGGCAGCCTCCATCCTTTGTCAGCAGCCCAGCTCTTTCAAAGTAGGCTTGGCCCCACATGTGAATGGGCGAGAGGAATCCAGTTCTCCGCAAAGACTCTTTCTTGGGGGTGTCAAGCAGAACTGGCCTTGGCAAGGAAGCCAGCTTACAGTCTTCACCCGGGTTTGTCTACTTCTTCACGCTTAAAGGCCAGAAACAAGTGATTTGGGGCCATCCATATTGGGTGCTTCTGCTCTCGTTTTCCTATCCCCCCCCCCCCGCCAAGCCCTTAGCATGGAATATATGGCTAAGTCTGGGTCAACTTGCCTGTGGCATCGACCCATTGTTCTCCCACCCTCAGTGGCCAGAAGGGAGCTTCTTGGATGCTGAGCAGAAAGCCCTCTGTGCTCCCCAAGTTAGGATGGTTTTGTTTGTGTGACTTATCTCCTCAGTCTGGAGGGACTTTGGGCAATAATTAGGTGAATGGCCAGGCATATTCATATTCAGGGTTGAATATTTTCCTATTCTAAGACAGACTTTTCAGCACAACTGGGAACTTGAAAGCAGAAAATTTAGAAGCTGCTGTTTCTCCTGGTGTTCCTCCTTGCCTGAATTACAAATGAAGAAGAAACTGTAAAAATTCAATAAAAAGTGCTCCAATAAAAAGTGGTCATTCTGGGGGCCCAGAGCCACAGGGAAGGAGGGGCTGTGTTGAAGTCCCTGGAAACCCTCCAATGACCCTCCCTCCCTCCCTCCCTCCCTCCCTTTCCAGCAGGAGAAGCTTTGTTCTGCCACATGGCAGCTGTGCCTTGGTGCTCCTTCACACGGATCGAGGCGCCTCCTGGCTTGGGATTAAATTGTCGGAACAACATTTCCATAAATTGGCCCGCCGCGTGCTGCTTCAAGGGCGCTTTGCAAAAGGGGTGCCCATGCACATCTCCGGAGCCGCCTGCCCCTCTGGTCACCCCCAGATAGGCCAGAGAATTGTGTGACACCTGCAAGCCGGCTGCTTCCTCAAGATTTCAGGCAATTTACGAGCTGGGGAGGGGGAGGCTGCTCTGTCTGAGTGTTGATTGCATCCCTGGGCAAGGACAGATATTAGCGGCACGTTGCTCTCCAATTCCCAGCTGCAAACCGAAGGCGAAGGACGATATTGGTGATATTGGTGTTAGCAGAACGTGTTGTAAAATGCATGAGGCTTTTTTTCTCGCCACGTCCTGGAAGCTGAGGGTAGGGAAAACCGAGAGCGCCTTGAATCCCAAGCAGCCTGGAAAAACAGGCAGGAATCCGCAGGAATCTGCCCTCCCGTGTTCCTTGGGTCCCTCTGATTATGGATTCCCCTCTCTCTTTCAAAACCTTTTTTCTTTTTTTGCTTGCAAGTAGCCTTTTTGCCATAATGGCCTTCTTGCCTTGTTTGATTTGCACGGAAGGAGAAGAGGCTCCTGCTGCTGCTGCATTCGGTCACTGATCTCTCCCTCCTTCTAAGCCGTCTGGCCTGAGGCTATGCTGAGGTTTCTCGCCCGCTTGTACTGTTGCAGCTCCAGTGGCGAAGAATATTCCGAGGATGACAAATGTATTCTGAGTCGGTACGTGGCTTTGTTTTCTTTGTGGCATCCATCTCGTCGGCCCCCTCCACACACCCCTTTCTTTCCTCGATTGTTTCGGGTTTTTTGTCCTGCTACTATTGGCCAGAAATCAGGTTAATAGGTATTGAATGTAGCTCGGTGCTGCAGTGTGACTGGGAAGGTGGAACAATAGTAGTGCCAGCTCGGTCTCGGGGTGGGGAAGACCGAGGCGGTCTTTTTATAGACCAAGGCAGGCTGCATTGTGGTGCCTGGCGGTGTGCAGCCTCTCCCCCTTCCTCCCTCACCCTCGCGCTTTTTTTAATGTACGCTGCAGTCAGCCCTTCTCTAATGAGACAGTGGCACGATCTGCCAGCCCGAGGATCGCCCGCCTGCCTGCTTTAAGGGACGGCAGGGTCAGGAGGAGAAGCCTGGCAGCCCCCTAGGCAGCTTGGAAACACCGGTTTAAGATCCTTGGCAAGCTGGCTTGGCTGCTTCCCAGCCGGAGCAGCAGCACCAGCACCAGCAGCCACCATCCTGCCTGGGAGAGTGCGTGCGTGCGTCTGGAATGGAAGCCCGAGTCGGCCGTCTGTTATGGAAACACTGTTTGCTGTTATTGTAGTATTGCGGTGACCAACATGCCATTGAAATGGAAAACGAGCTCGCCTGCTAGCTGGAAGTTCCCCGTGCCTGTGCTTAAAACCTCCCGGTCATCGCCACTTTCTCCAGCGTACATGTAAGTGAGAGAACGGAGGGCATCTTGAGGTGGGCATGCCTTTGCAAGATCCCCTCCCGGCCCCTGGCAGGGTTTGGCTCTGTGCAGTTTTAACACTTCTCTTCCCCCCACCCGTCCTTTATTTGTGATGTTGTATTCCTTAATGTGACATTGGTCTCAAAATTAACATTGTTAACATTGCATCTCTCTCCTACCCTGGAACGTTGGCTTTACCCCCTCTTGTCAGTTCTGTTTCTCCTCCTCCACCACCCTGGTGATAGGTGTTGTGTTTCAGTCGTTCTTTTGTTGGGCAAAGCAGGGGAGAAGGGTGCAGATTTGCACCGTTCCTTTTATGTACCCCTGTTTGAAGTTTGTGTGGGTCGTTGGTCTACAATGCAGATCTTAGAGGAGTAACTCCACAGAGTTCTGGGCTCTTCCTTTTTCTAGTTGCTTTTCATCATGAGATACACTCCAAACACCCACCAAGGTGTCTTTTTTGGTACCGGATGGGTGTGTTTTCCGTGGTGAAATACTGACTGTCAAAAATTCATTTTTTTTTTAATCCAAGTAATTTTTCCTCTGGTTAGATTCCTTTTCGTCTCTCAGAGTCAAAATTTAAACATTGGCTTTGTGAGAGCTACCAGCTGCAGCTCAAGATTTTAGATTTGTAAAGAACAGGGTCCATTTTTCCTAGACCAGGGATGTGTTTCTGGCTAAGGCTGAGCAAGCCACATGGTATAGTAAAGTGAAAAAAAGAAAGAAAGTAAACTTGATTTTGGTGATGCTCATTATTTCCACGAATACAGAACTGAATGCCTTTTATAGCTTTTATGTCTGAAAAATATAATTTCACAGCCTTGAAATGGGGTATCTCAATGTTTTGAATTTTATATTAGCTTGCTCATAGGCAAGTCATCCCTTCCTCTAAGATTTTGGTAGAGACATCTACCTCTCTGTTTCTTTCTGTTTTTATTTCACATTTTATATTGTGAGACAACAATATCTATTTGATGCGAATGGCTTTTATTTTTTTTAAAGCATCTCATAAACTTTCAGCATTTAACAGTTAAGAACATTTTTCCTAGATCTGAAAGGACATTTTACACTAGCGTGTGGAAACAGGAAGGACAGAAGCATTGTCCAATTCATCTGAGTTAGGAATGGAACATTTTATTTAACTCAAGATGTGTTAGACCAGGAACTAGAAGGAGTGTTAGAAACAAGGTAGTACAGAAATAGTGTCTTAAAATATCTTAGCTAAACGAGTGAATTGATTTTTAAAAAAGCCCTTTCATGTGCAGTTCAGGACATATATTTCATCGTGATTTATGTAATTGCAGAGCTAAAACATACTCATCAAGTTCATTTGTTTTCTTTAGTAAAATATATGTTGTACTTGATGTTTAAACCAGAAAGGCTTTAAAATCTTAAGGAAGAGAACTATATTGATAATGATAGGTTTATCCTTAAGAAGACTCAGAAATATTTTTGGCCTTTATGAATATGAAATTCTGGTGCTTTATGAGCCATTGTCCAGGCGCTACAGGTCCTATTTTCTATTGCTCCTTCTCTATACACACACACACACACACACACACACACACACGTTTTGCCCACTTTGCCTCAAGCAGATGAATTCCTCTCCCAGACATGCTTCTGTGTGTCTTGAAATCTAGAAGTCAAGAAATAAGCCAGCTGAAGTCTTGTTTTCACGTTATATATTTTGAGTAAATATCCCTGCAAGATGTGTAATTTTTCTGACTAAGAATAAAAAGTTTCCCACATCTGTTTTGTTGATCAGTTGTACGGTGCCCACATATAGGTGGAAGGCCAGCATTGATGATTGATTTGTGTGCATAGGGGCTAGGGCTCGAATTGAAAGATGGACCGCCCTCAATATATCCAATATTGAGAATTGCTCTTAGTAAGCCCCATATTTCACTAAAATCCAGAATAAAATTCTTGTTCTGCACACAGCAAATTATGTATTTTGTAGGAAATTGGGGAGGGGATTTGAGATCCCCCTGAATTAAAGTGTAGCATAGAGAAGAGGCAGGGTCCAGCTGTAATTCAAGACATCTGCATGCTTGTATGATGTGATTAGATGCAGATTGGATGTTATTTCCTATGTGAAAGCGTTGTTGATTGGAGGAAGGGGGGTAAAAGGTTCAGGTCTTCTCCTTGCACCTAGCATCATAACGAAGGAGCTCGGTCACTACAGGTGGTCCTTGACTTATGACCAAAATTAAGCCCAATTTTGCCCCATTTTAGGATTGTTCTTGCCACAGTTATTAAGTGAATCACTGCAGTTGTTAAATTAGTCACTGGTTGTTAAGTGAATCTGGCTTCCCCATTGACTTTGCTTGTTGGAAGGTTGCAACGGGATCACGTGACCCCGGGACACGTGATGTATGTGATGTGATGATGTGACACTCATAAGTCACATTTTTCGGTGCCGTTGTAACTTTGAACGGTCGCTAAATGAACTGTTGTAAGTCGAGGACTGCCTGTCTGTCATTGCGTCCGGGCTTCAGCTGTGGGGTTGAAGACTGTGCATTCAGGCCTTTGCTGTGTGCAAAGATCAGGGCTGCCTTAATGGCAGTGGAAAACAATATTCCACCCAACAATATTGTCATCTGGGGCAATTCACCTGTAATTTAGGCCACAGCGAGCATAAGAGTCCACTGCAGTTTGAGCCAGAGCGGGTGACCAGACTGCCTAGTCTGTGAAGGGAATTTGCTTCTAAGGTTTTATTCTAGAGCTGTGAGGTGCACATGGAGGCAAACCTCTTCCCTCCTCTGAAGAGTGCCTGGCTCCTGTCTACTTTCTATCTACAGAGACGACTGTTCCCTTTCTGGGCATCTGCTACAAGGTCAAGACTTTTTTAGATAACTCCTATTTTGGCCAGAACCATGCTATCCACCAGGCTTGATTCTCTTGTCTTGCACCAAGTCAAGGAGTCAATTGGGTGTGCTCCCAGTAGGAGTAAGGCAGCAGGAGCAGCCCTGCTATTTTGGGGTTCCACCAAGGCAGGGGGGGTCTTTTCCACAGTCCAGCCTGTTTCTTGGGGGTCAACATTGCTTCTCCTCCTCCAAGTGCACTCTTGTTGCAGCGTGTCAAAGATAGTTCCAATCACATTATCAAAGTAATCATTTCTTCTCTTCAAGCTAAGGTAAGCAAAAAGATTTGGTAAATCTTGGAACTGAGTTTTGCATAATGTGCTCTTATTTATTTTATTTTTTTTAGATTTTTATTGCACAGCAGAGTCCCTAAAGACTAAGGCTGCTTGTCAGCATGCTTAGGACCATAGCAGAACCTCAACTAAAAAGGTGCCACTTTCTTTCTCACTCCAGTTTAGCAGATATTTTTTTATTCTTGACAAGCTTTCTTTTTTTTTTCTTTTTTTCCTTTACAACTAGTTTACCTTTGGACACTAAATACCAGCTGAACCTCTTGGATTTTGCAAACCTTTGGAATTGGGTTCCAGGCCATGGGACTACACTGAGTTGTATCCTCACCCTGCAGTTTGATGGATGTAGTTGCACATTCACTTTTGTTTGTTTTTGTTGAAAAACGAAGTAGACTCTGCCCTACAATCGAAATTCAGAGGCTCAGGAGCAGCAAAGTTTTGGGGCTATCAGAGGAAGCTTCGGTTCTTTCTAGGATGTCAGGTTATCTAAAGACCATCTCTTTCCTGAGCTGTGCCAAAGAGGTTAAGCAGAGGTTGCTTTTCTATCTGTGATCTTAAAATGGTTTTATGTTTTTTGTTCACTGTTTGGAAGGATAATGTTTTCATTTGTAAGTGGCTTGTTGCATCTACAGATTGAAAAATAGGCTAGAAACAATAAATTATTAAAAGGAAGATTGCTCTTAACTCCTTTCTTTGGCTGAGGCAGTTGATGGGAACATAGGGGGAAGCCCGGTGGAGTTCCCAAGGAAGTGACCCCTTATGCCATCCTAGACGGCTTTTTTCTTCAGGTGTGGTAGTTCTTCTTCTGCCATCTTTTGTCCTCCTGGGTTAAGGCATTTTCGTGCATCTCTTGATTCTAATTCTTCCTGGTTTCCATCGGCCTCTCAGTTTTGGAGATTGCTACTAGATCTGGAGGCTACTCTTAGAAAGAGATGGTAGTCAAAGCTACTCTGAATATTAATGAAATTGAAAACATAGCAGACAACTATTTTGGAGAGGGGGGCAACTGCTCCCTGAAAACCCAGAGCGCCTTTGATGGGTCCATAAGCACCTGGAGGCCGGCTCTCTGAACGATGCCCGGATCTGTTCCTCCGCCTTCCTAGAGCATCCCAAAGGGCAACTCGGACCTCTTTCATAGTTAGTGCCAAGGGTCTCCTCACCCGCCTCATCTTTCTGAAGAGCCTGGAGGGTACCTGAACCATCAGAAGAAGATAGTTTTGTCATTATTCAAACATCTGCTATGTAGCTTTGGAAAATAAAGCCGACAGAGGCTTGTGGCACTTTGAGTATGAAATGGGCAGACTAAATAGCAGCCAACCGGTCCATCCAGCAGGCTCAGGAAGGAGGAGGAGGAGCTTAGGTTGCCCCCATACAGTAGTGGGGGGGGGCTAGCTGGGGTGGGGGCCTGAATCTTTTACGGGCGCTTGAAAGCTTTATGAATTATCGGGGGGGGGGTCATGTGTGGGACTTGGATTACCTGGTGATGCTACAAGGTGGCCTGTTAACATTTTTTCAGCCAGGCAAAACAACAGAAACATAGATGTCAATTCAAGATATGACTAAAATGCCTATCTGGGGTTTTGCAATTGGAACAAATGAAGCTACCTTCTTAATTGCATTGATAGTGAAAAGCTAGCTTCGGATTAAGCATGTAGCTTGAGCTGGCTGACACAGAGTGCTTCTAAAAAGGACTCGGGTATCTTTTATTATCCACCTGAAATTGGGATGTACAAAAATAACCCGAGCGTTTCATATTTCAAACAAAGGGGAAAAAACAGAGCAGTGAAATATAGGTTCACTAAACTGAACGCTGGTTTTATTTATATATAAAAAATTGAATCGGCGAGATAAAGAGACATGCAGTTGCTAAAAAAAGTTTCAAGGAGTCAGAAATGTATACTCAAGCTTTTATGCAGCTTTGGAGTTGAATATTTGTGATGAATTGCTTTTTTGAGAATTCCCAAAATATTTGTGAGTGAGACACTGAGTTATCTTAAAAAAGAAAACGCCTGCATGCTGATTCTCCACCCTCTCTCTGCCCAAGCAGTTATCTGGATCCTCATTTCTTTGCTGGTTTGTTTTCTCCCCCACCCCACCCCCACCCCCACCCCGATTCTTTGTAAAGGATAGTCCTGGTGGCTTAAAAGTCCAACTATTCTTCTTTTTTAATATAATGCCTTCTATTGGTCATAGCTAGGGGAATAATTAAAAGTTTAATTAACTTTATGAGGAATTCTTGGAGGCAATAGCAATTCAGCATTATCACCAGAAAAGCCTAATCAATATATTTACTCTCCTTATTAACTAATTATTTATAAGGGTTGGTGTGTTAGCTTTAATGAGTGTGTATAAAACACCCTTGGTAAATACGTCTAAACTGAATATCCCTTCATTAAAACTTTGGGGGTTTTTTGGATGCATAGTTGATGTAAGGAGATGGCTCAGGTACTGGAGGAGATGTCCTGTTGTGAAGTTTGGGTCTTTGGGTTCCACAGCTCATCAGGGGTGAGTTGCTGGTATTGAAAAGCAACATGGAAGAAGGTGGGAAAAAACTAGATAAGTTGACTAGGCTAGATATTTTCTTTTCCAGAAATGCTAACTTTTTTTGTACTGGATAAAGAAGCCTTCAAAGTTTCAAGCCCTCCTTGTGGTCTGAAACTGTTTATCGCACGTGTGTCCAACCTTGGCAACATTAAGACTTGTGGACTTCGACTCCTGCAAAAGTTGCCGAGATTGGACAGCCCTGGTTTATCAGATCTGATCTAGTCCAATATTCTATTCCGTGGACCAATAATATATATCTTTATGACCTAATGAAACTGGTCTTCAGTAGTAACATCTTGCAGTGATTCTGGAGGAAACACTTATTTTGTGTGGAGCTCATTTCCTTGCAGTGCACTCAGAGACATCATGTTGTGGTCCTCTCTCCGTATTTTGTCTTTGCCGTAATTGTGCGAAGACGATGGGACTGAACCTTCGGGGGAGCTCAGGTTCAACCTGTAGATGAGAACACGGGTGATTCTGTCCAACCTGAAGCACAAGAACGCAATCTGATTTTACGCTACACATCCCACAGTGTTTTGTACAATTTCTAACCAAAATGTGATTTAATCTATCGGAAATTCTTTGTTGTTGCTGCTGGTATCAAAGGCAAGTCTGAGCACTGCAATAAAATAACAGGCATCCATCCTGGACAACCTCAGCTTCAGTTGTTGTACCAACATCTGCCATCTGTGATTTGTTTAATTTTTTTCCAACCTCCAGTGGCCTGAATGCACCAAAAGAAACAGATTTGAGGTTTAAGGCTGTGTAATTAATCAGTATGTGACATGAGATATTACAGGTTATTTATGGGTTACTAATTGTAGTGCACAGCAGCATATTCAGAAAGAAGCTTTAATCTTTACAAATCCTTGTGAGAAACCACCTGGTCACATTTGAAATAGAACCTTACTAAATGTGTTTGCATTTCCACCCTGCATGTTCCATGTATTTCACACCCGTGTATCAAAGCACCGTTTCTCTGTAGTCCACGGTATTTTTTTTAGCAATTTTTATGGCTGATCTCCAAACAATTTGTGCTTTCAGCTACCACACCACTACCACCCCCAAATGTTCAAGTTTCAGAAATTCCTTTAAATAACCCTAGTTTTCCTACTCAGTGCAAATAAATAGCAGCTGCAAGCATAACCTGATAGAATTATTTTAAGCCAAGCCAACTCTGTTTTTAATTGGGATTTTTTAAAAAATGTAGGCACAAAACAATTGGTTTGCTCATATTTGGGGGACTAGTTATCCTGCTGAAGTAATTTCTGAAACTCCTTTTGAGGCCAATGTTTTCCCTGCATGCTCAGAGATTAGATCTTTTAGAAAGAGGCTGGAAGTTATATTTAAACATTACGAAGAGGAGCGGATACCTTAATGTCAGCACCTGCACGGAAGGCTCACAAACTACTGTGTGTAATGCGATATCCCTGAGCTTTTTATGGGCACAGGTCATGCATAGAGCACTTGAGATCTGGACAGACAGAACTGCTTGTAAACTCCCCCCCCCCCTCAGTTTCCTCTGAGCCGCAATGAAGGTTTTTAAATTTCTAAAAGGTGGAAGGCTTTTGAACCCCCAAATCTTGAAAACGGGATCAAAAATTGCAAATCGTCTCAGTTATGAGAAAAAATGGAAGAAAGTTGTTGCAACAAAGCCTGAATTCAGAACGAGAAATTGCCCCGTCACTTTTTAACATTTAATAACATAATAGCAATAAAAATTGGATTAGGTTTCCTTTGAGATTGCCTTACAGATTCCTGCATGTTCCTGCATTGGTGGTGGCGACTCAGGTAGTAGAACCAAGCTCTGACTGAAGGCCAAAGTCATCTCTTCTCTTCCTTTCTTTTTCCTAGATCTTTGGTTGAAGAGGAAGACCCTCAAATGAAAGTGACTCTGGGGAGCAGCGATATGGGCTTGTCTGCTCACCTGCAGGCATCGAAGGCAGGAACCACCAGATTCTTTACCAGCAACACTCACAGTTCTGTGGTCCTTCAGGTGAGTGAAGCCCCTGGACAGAGCCACCCGCCAAATCTTCTTTGGACACCCCTTCTTCGTTTCACGGGGGAGAGTTTCCTCCAAAGACGGGTTTGTTTGGCGGTATCGTTGCAGCCCACCTCACCAAGCTAGTGGAAAGGAAGCGCAGAACGGGGTCCCCTTCTTGGCTTCTGAGGACTTCCTCTCCCTTGCCAAGTAGACATTGTGGCCACACTGCCAAAGAGAAAGAGTGGGGCTGCTTTTCCCTGTGATTGAAGGGAATCCAAGCTTGACATTGCCCAAACCAGGGGGGGGGAGTGTTGGCCTGCGAATTATGTCTGAAAGCCTTTGTTAGGTGAAACTGCCTTTCCGTGTGGATGCTCTTCTTATCTTTTTTGCTTCCATTGGCCCGGAGCGTGGAAATTCGGTTTCATCATCTAGCAGCATGCTGTGCAGAACTCCAGGCCCCTTCTCTGACTTTGGCTCTAGAAAGCACCTTCCTTGCCCCTCTTGCTGATGCTTTGTGTTTGCAGTGGCTGTGAAAGGAGGCCAAACCCTGTGCCTGGCATTGTTTGCTGCCACCGAGGAGGTGGCAAACTAGGCTAACAAGGCTGTCTTCCCGGAATGTTTTTAAAGAGTGGGAAAATGCCGGGTGGGCAGGCCTGGGGAAGAACTGCAGCCGGTGTAAAAACCAGCCCGAAAGCTTTGCAAAGTGGATGGCCAGGCAGAGCTGCTGCCCCAGGACCGTGCCTGTATTCTGGGAACATCAGAAGCCTTTTGTTCAGTGGAGTAACCTAATCCTCCTCCTCCTCCTCCTCTGGCTTGTTGGAGCAGAGCAGCTCCACCTCCCCCCCACCCCCAGGTTTCCCAGCATTGGAGTAGCTACACTGAGCCTGGACTGCTGTTGCGGTCCCAGGAACAGGAGCTCCGATTGTGTGGGGCTTCCCGTGGGGCAGCACCTCCTCCTTCCGGGGGAAAGCGAAGCTGACGTCGCTGGTTCTCTCTTGCAGGGTTTTGACCAGCTCCGCCTGGAAGGCTTGCTTTGTGATGTGACGTTAGTGCCAGGCGATGGAGATGAAGTGTTCCCTGTGCACAGGGCGATGATGGCGTCCGCTAGTGATTACTTCAAGGCCATGTTCACAGGTAGGGTGGTGGATCACCCGCCATGCAGAGGCCAGTAGACACCCCTCTCGGGTTTTCTTTCAGGGGTTCAGTTAACGTTAGGGATGACGTGCCATTCTCTCTGGTTTGGAGGAAGCTTTCTAAGGAGGCTGTGACTAGTTGTAACCACATTGTCTCTAAATTTTGTTCCAGGTGGGATGAAAGAACAAGACTTAATGTGCATTAAGCTCCACGGCGTGAACAAAATAGGTTTAAAGAAGATCATTGATTTTATTTATACGGCGAAACTTTCCCTCAACATGGACAACCTGCAGGATACTCTAGAAGCGGCCAGCTTTTTGCAGATCTTGCCTGTGCTGGACTTCTGTAAAGTGTTTCTTATATCTGGGGTAAGAGAAACGTAGGTTGTAGCTTAGAGACTCATCTCCTCAGCTAACCTGCAAGGGATTGACCAAAAGAGCTGGTCCACGTTGCTTTAATTAGAACAGGAGTAGTTCTGCAAGGCAGCTCCCCACAAAACTAGTCCTCGATCTGTCTGTGTGCCATATCACACAATTAAGTTAACCTTTATGTCAATGTGTTGAATAGGAAAAATGGTGAATGCAGTCTATAAACTGTTTTGGAATAGTTCTGCAAATGGGACTCCCGGAGGCAAAACAATTTATTAAAATAAATAAATCTGCTCTGCCAAGTGGGAGGTACTCAGCTGTGAGAGAGCAGAAGGTGCACATTGTAAATTGCTTTTGACTGCAAAGGAGAGCTATGTTCAGTTTTGTGTATAACAGCTGGGTTCTTCTGGAGAAGGTGCTGTGCAGGCCTCATTTGCAGTGTGGTTTGGGTGACTGTAAGATGGAAATAGGGGTGTGTATTTTGATGGATGCTCAAGGATTAAAGTGGTGATTGAAAAGACAGAAATGGCTGAGGTATTTGGCAACCTGCATGTAAATAGATTTTTAAAAAATAACGGGACATCTAATGTGCAGCTTTTCAGAAACTGGTGGGTTTTAAAACATGGTTCCATCCAAGTTACAAATAATGAAAATACCAACCATTTTTACCAACGGGAGAGGGGAAAAGGAGAGTGTTGGATTTTCAAGATCCAACGGTTTTAGCTACTGTGGCCAAGAGCTGGGGAAGATGGGACCAAGCCATTAACTTAGAGGAGAAGACGTTCCCCATACCTCTTCTAATAAACACGTCCATTTCCTTTCTCAGATATGCTATCCTAGAATTTCTGTTAAGTTCTGGTGAAATACTAGTTGTGATTATACAGAGTTGTCTTTCTCAACCTTAACAGCTTTAAAACATCTAGCATGCTGACTGGAGGAGTCTGGGAGTTGAAGTCCACACATCTTAAAGCTGCCAAGGTTGAGAATCCCTGGTATAGAGTAAGAAAATTCAGATCCCCAAAGTAATCTAGGATGTCTAAATTATGGGCATCTGGACGTGGATGTCCGGTGAAGACTAAAGCAGAGGAGGATCCGTATCTTTTGTCCCTGGATTTAGCAACAGGGCTTGCAGGATCAGCGGTCCTGCTGGCAAACCTATTAACTGCTGGTGCCTTGTAAATCATCTCCTTTCTCATTTCTGCTGCTGCTGTTTTAGTTTCCTGTCTTCGGCTGTGGTATTTGCAGTTGATGTCATCTTCAGTTGCTTCCACCTCTTGCTTTTCAATTTTAGCTGCATCTGACGCTTCCTGCCGCCCCTTCACCGCTTTTCTAAATTTTGCCACTGAGAAGTTTCAACCTCCTTTCAAGGAAACCCTATTTAGATTTTTCTTATCTTTTATTTTCCTCCTGCAATTTCAGTATTAAAAGTGACAATCTTAAAAGAGTCTGCTATCTTGGTCTAATCCATCCCAAATGTGTGGCTCCGCAGAGTAGCCCAAAATTTCCATTGTTAAGTGAGACATTTTTTGAGTTTTGCTCAGTTTTACGACTTTTCTTGCCACAGTTGTTAAGTGAATCACTGCAGTTGATAAGTTAGTAACACAATTGTTAAGTGACTCAGGCTTCCCCACTGACTTTGCTTGTCCAAAGGTTGCCAAAGATGATCACATGACCTTGGGACACGGCAATGGTTATAAATGCAGTTATTTTTTTGCAAAGGATTTTATTGACTTTTCTGCAGTGAAAGCGTGTTTCTTGGTATTTTTTTTTTTAAAAAAAAAATACCGTTAATGTTTTTGGTTGCTTTTGGAAGACCACAATCCGCCTATCAAGATTATACCTTGTTATTAAATGTAATCTGATAATTAAATAATCCCATAAATTCTGTGACACAGAGATGGAGAAGTGCTACAGCTGTAACTGAGCAGTGATTCAGAAGACTGTCCTATAGAAAAAGTAGGCTCAATTCATCTTCCTCAACCATCTTCCTGTCTTTCTCTCCAGCCAACGCCCTCCTGCCTCCCGCTGAGGTGCTGCGTGTAGCACTCATTGCTGGTCATCCCCATCCCTGTTGTCCCCTTCTTCTTCCCGCTCTTCCTTTACGGTGTTCCCTGTCTCCACAGGCTTTATAGCCACTCCCACATGTCATAATGAGCAAGATATGTCCCAGTTTGACAGCATATCAGATCCTAAAGCCATGCAACCAGCCTGTTTATAACATAGGCAATGTTTCAACCAGACGCCCCAAATAGATGCTCTGGACCTGCCTTGGATTGCTCCTCTAGCAGGGCCAAACATTCGGTGACATTTTGTCTGCTTTGCTGTTTCTTTTCCGAGTGCCACGATTGGAACAAGAAGGCTGATGTTGTGCTCTAACGCAGCAGCACGGCCTAAAATAATTCTCCATGCTATTGCATGCTCTGCAGGGCTCCCTTCAGTTGGTCTATCCAACAAAATGGAGCGTAAGGAACAAATTCATGTTTTTGAGATAAATCACTTAGAAGGCTTCTGAGACTGGAGTTGAATCACTCAGAGGACACTGAGACAAATTGCAAGGTTTTGAGAAGGATTCCTTTTTCATTATCAGGCAAGGATTAGGTGAAGGTCCCTGACCTGCTCCGGGACCATCATTTGAGCTTCTCCTGGCTCCCTGGAGCTGCGGTCCCAAGAGCTTGAGAAAGCTGGCTGAGGAAGGGGAATTCTAGTAGCAGAGAAGTGATGAGCCAGTGGTGATTAGTCCTTTCTGATCTGTGCAAGGCCACAAAAGCTACAGGGCAGTGGAAGGACTGAAAATCAAGCCCAGCTTCAGGGCTCTGCCTTAGGAGAAGAGAAGAAGAGGGAAGCCAAAAACAAGGGCATCTGAAGTGCACCAGCTGGCGTATTGTTTCCTCTCCAAGGAAGCCTCACTTAGAAGCCTGTCCTAAAAATTTACAGAATAGAATACAGAATAACAGAGTTGGAAGGGACCTTGGAGGTCTTTTAGTCCAACCCCCTCCTCAGGCAAGAAACCCTATACCATTTCAGACAAATGGCTGTCCAATCTCTTCTTAAAAACCTCCACTGATGGCTACTTCTGTTCCACCGATAAATTGTTCTCATTGTCAGAAAATTCCTGCTTAGTTCTAGATTGCTTCTCTTCTTGGATACTTTCCATCCGTTACTGCTTCTCCTGCCTTCAGTGCCTTGGAGAATAGGTTGACTCCCTCTTCTTTGTGGCATCCCTTTAGATATTGGAACACTGCTATCATGTAAGCCCTAGTTCGTTGCGTTTTGCTCTTGCGTTCATTGGACTAAAGACTTGTTGGGGGTGGGAGTGTTAAATGACCCTGCAGTTAAGCTCCTCCTTGATAATATGTCCTCTCTTACCTTCACAGGTGTCCTTAGAGAACTGCGTTGAGGTGGGGCGAATTGCCAACACATACAACCTCACTGAAGTGGATAAATATGTGAACAATTTCATCCTCAAAAACTTTCCAGCCCTGCTAAGTACGGGAGAGTTTGTGAAACTCCCTTTTGAGCGCCTTGCCTTTGTCCTCTCAAGTAATAGCCTTAAGCACTGTACCGAGCTGGAACTTTTCAAAGCCGCCTGCCGGTGGCTGCGGTATGAGGAGCCACGCATGGAATGCGCTGCAAAGCTCATGAAAAACATCCGTTTCCCTCTGATGACGCCCCAGGATCTAATCAACTATGTCCAGACGGTGGATTTCATGAGGACTGATAATACTTGTGTCAATTTGCTCTTGGAAGCCAGTAACTATCAAATGATGCCCTACATGCAGCCGGTGATGCAGTCGGAGAGGACGGCCATCCGGTCGGACAGCACCCACCTGGTGACCTTGGGAGGGGTCCTCCGGCAGCAACTGGTTGTGAGTAAGGAACTGCGGATGTACGATGAGAAAGCACACGAGTGGAAGTCCCTGGCCCCCATGGACGCCCCCCGGTACCAGCACGGCATCGCTGTGATTGGGAACTTCCTCTATGTGGTTGGTGGGCAGAGCAATTATGACACAAAAGGGAAGACGGCTGTCGACACGGTTTTCAGGTTTGATCCTCGCTACAATAAGTGGATGCAAGTGGCTTCTTTAAATGAAAAGCGGACCTTCTTCCACCTAAGTGCCCTCAAAGGACATTTGTATGCAGTTGGTGGTCGAAATGCAGCTGGGGAATTAGGTAAGTTCCATCTCACGCAGCAGGGAAGCTTAATAGCCGGCTAATCAGAACATCTTGATTCATTGTGGAACGGTTTTCTGGCATCAAGATATATTATGCCAGAACGTTTCCCCAATCTACGAAGGCGCTGGACCTCTTCAGAAAAGGAGCGAAGCTTAGTCGGGCTATCCCTTGCTCTGCAGGGATTTAGTAACAAGGGCATTGTATCCTAACCTATATCATATTTTTAAAAGGAGTGTTTTGAAATAATAATGGTGCCGCTGTACATTATTATGGTAATGCAGAGTTTAATTGTCTATCTTCCCACATGTCAAGAGGACTAATGAATGGTGCTGTTTTCTTCTGAACAAATGAATTCTGCATTGATTTTATGCAGGTAGCACTGATCTGAATTTATTTTAAACTTCTTTTGTCTGACGTCTGAAGAATTAAGGGCTGGTGGCCAGTTCTCTTAGTCTGGTCTGAGCACACGGGCTCACCTCCTGGCCCCCCTTGTGAATCAGACAGTGAACAACGTGAGTGTGAATAACATCCCCTGTGCATTTTCCACTCAGCTCACGGAGGGATAGGACCATCTTCAGGGCAGCTTTTAAGAGTCCTCCTTCTGATAATTTAACACCTTCCTCTATAATAAATACCAAATGCAGGCAGCCATATTTGCGTTGAAACTCTGTAGGTGAGCACCTCCGTTGCTACCTGACAATTCTCCTGTAATTTCTCCCCGCTTGATATGATCTGTCGCTTCTTAGTACTTGTCGTCTTCAGTGTCTTACCTTGAACCATCTGTGGGCTGTTAAACAGTTGCATTGATTTCCATAATGAGCTTGATCCATTTATGTGAAAGCCCGTGCCTGGCTGGCGGTCCTGTTGATTCTGAGTCTTCTCTCTCCCTTTTCATTAGCTGCATTGCGAGTCATTTTTACCCTTTGCAGCTTTCGAGGCTTTTTTTCTTTGCAGCAAAAAGGAGAAGAATCCTTGTAACTTTTCCTTATTCTCTTCATTGTGAAAGGCTAGCAAGAAAGAAAGATAAATAATGTTTATTCATAATTAATAATGTTTAGATTGCAGGAAATTGGATGTAGCGCTCTTGATGCAAAAACATACCAAACAAACACTCATGTGGCTCTCTGGCCCTGCCAGACTGCCACACTGAGCATTTGGCGAGCAGCATTTTCGGTGGCTGTGGGCAAGCACGACGTTTACCACAGCTGACATGCAAGTATTATTTGCTTAAAATTGAAATAATAAGAAACACGGATGTGGCAGCTCAAAATCCAACAGACAATTCTACAAAAGTTGATGCTTGGAAATAATCCCCAAAGGCGAGAATGATTAAGGCTACTAAAAACTCAGCGTAGGAAGAGAAGAAGCAGAAATGAAATGTAGAAGTTTGCTATTGTCCCCCCAAAAAATCTGCTGTTGCCCAGTGGATCTTGTTTTAACAAGGAAAAATCACAGCCCCATAAAAAAATGGTATAAAAAATACTATAATAACCAGCCTTGTAACTCTAAAGACTGCCCGACCTATGGAATATAGAGACATTCTTTCTAAAGTTTGTTGTGCTAAGGATTGCAGTTGATGATGGCCGAGATCTTCTCAAATGCTTAAGCCCTAATTAATGTGATCGTTCCTAAATGAAGTAGGGATCTCTTGGCTTACTAGGGACCTGACAGCAATAAAGTGAGGGAGTGGTCAACTAAGGGGCAAAGGGGGAGATTTCAGAATGGGTCAGAAGTCTTGGTGATGATGATGGTGATGTCATCCATTCAGGCATGTCCGACTCTTGGTGCTTCTACGGGCCGAGTCTCTCCACATCTTCCGATCTTGCACTCCTCCTTTAAGCTTTCCTGTGGTCTCTAAGCTCTGGCTGGTGTCAGCTCTGATGCTCTCACCAAAGTCTTAGTCTGGAGCAGTGAAAAGAACTTTGTTCCGGCCATGGAGAAATCCATCCAGCTGGCCAGTTTTGCCTCTGCTGAGAAGGATGGTCAGAAACAGAGAGCCTTACATCCCCAGACCCAGTTTGATGTCCTGATTATGTGGACCTCTCTCAGTCAGAGTTTTGGATAGGATATCAGACGGAGGTGCCTTTTGGTAGCCTTGGAGTATGACCTGTATCAGAGCCTGAATGGGGAAACTGAGGCCTTCCTTTGTCTCCTCAGTCCAGTCAGAACATTTACAGTGGAGGCTCTTTTCTGTTTCCAAGCTCGATGGAGATCTTTGAGTGTTGTGTGTGTATAAGTTCATACGTTTATTTTTAGACGCTTGGAAGGTGTGAAGTCACGGGCGTCTGACTGCAGCAGAGGCCTCGGGCCAGCTCTGGTTCTAGTGGGGTGCTGTGCTGGAGCAGGAACGGATTGAAAGGGGGGGGGGCAAAGGAGGGTTTCCAACCATCATGGCTGCCCTGAGTAGTTTGGGGAATACTTTGGGATGGAGAAGCTGCCTCTGCTTCAGGGAGTAGAGAGCCTGCTTGTACATTCAGATCGTGACCTGCTCCACCTCTAGTGGCCAGGTCACTCCGAGCAGCAAATGGAAGGGATTCTTGAATTCCTCCTTCCTCTCCCAGAAAAGCTTTGTGTTAGAACAGCTGCAGGCTAAGGGCTCATTTGGAATCTTTTTAAAGTCCTTTTTTTTTTTTACACGTAGGATTTATTTTAATGCCAGTGAATGTTTTGTGTGTTAGAGACTTGGTGTTTTTCTGCTCGGCACTTGAAAATCCTTGCTTCATCTGTGGGGTGTGCAAAGGTTAATACCGCTGCCCGTTCTTGGAAAGCTTAATTCTTGCTGGCTATCGAATGGGTGTTTCTCAGAAAACAAGCAAGGAAGATCATTTGCAGAGATGTGTGTGTGTAAAAAACAAAATAAAACAAACAAACAAAAAGCTTACGTTTAAAAAGGGGTGGAGGTTTGACCACTCGGTCACAGCTGCCGTGATGACTTTTTTGACCTCTACAGCCACCCCACAGGTGCCCTGATCCTATGGCCGGTCCGCACACAGGGGCTTTCTTTAAAAAGAGGCTCCGGGTCTCTCTTTGCATCAGCAGGCTGAAAATAGAATGGGCACCCGGTCAGAAACATGAAACCAGCAGAGAGAGAGTCTGTTCCGATGCTGATGGCCAAATCATCTGCAAAACAGTTTTGTTCATTAGGTTGAGGAAATAAATCTATGACAGCGGAGAATCACGTTCACTGCCCTTTCTGAAGCGATGGCCGGTGAGAGAGCTTTCACAGTTGTTAAGTGAATCACTGCAGATGATAAGTTAGTCACCCGCTTGTTAAGTGAACCTGGCCTCCCCACTGACTTTGCTTGCCAGAAGGTCGCTAAAGGGGATCGCCTGACCTCAGGACACGGCAGTGGTCGTAAGTACGAACCAGTTACCAGGCATCTCAATTTTGATCACATGACCCTGGCGATTTTTCGTAACTGTGAAAAATGGTCCGAAATCCCTTTTTTCGGTGCCATTGTAACTTTGAACGGTCACTAAATGAACCATTGTAAGTCGAGGACCGCCTGTACAATGGGTTGTCTCACATTGCTTCTTGCTGGTTTTTTTGAACAGCTACGGTGGAGTGTTACAATCCCAGAATGAACGAGTGGAGCTACGTGGCGAAGATGAATGAGCCCCATTATGGACACGCAGGGACGGTGTACGGGGGGCTGATGTACATTTCAGGTGAGCCAGTCTGCCAATGCCTCCCAAACTGCCCCTGCAAACCCCCCGGGCCAGGAGTTCTCCCATCCTCAAATAGGCCGGAATTCTCTGTCACTCCTCTCGATTCCTCCCCAGGCTATTTCAGCCAGCAGGCTGCCTTCTGGGATAAGCACCTTTTAAAGGGGGTCCGTTAGGAGGGAAGTCCAGTTGTTTGTTTAGGATGCACGTTCCTGATTAGATTTAGGCTTAGAATAAAAGAGTTGGAAGGGAGCTTGTAGGTCAACCAGCTCGGGGGACTAATCTTATAAATGTCCCTATTTGGAGAAGCCACAACTTGCCACAACTGTGGCAAGAAAGGTTGTAAAATGGAGCAAAGTCACTTAACAAATGTCTCATTTAACAATAGAAATGCTGGGTTCAATTGTTGTAAGTCGAGAACTATGTGTACACTTAATAAATAAATCAACTCAGCTACTAAGAAAGGCTCTTGTCGGCCTTTGGGCTCCTGTTCCTGGGGCCTCCCCCTTCACTGCTCACGGAGTGTCTGGCTTTCCCCTCCCCCCAGGTGGCATCACCCACGACACTTTCCAGAAGGAGCTCATGTGCTTCGATCCCGACACGGACAAATGGACTCAGAAGGCCCCCATGACTACCGTGCGGGGCCTCCACTGCATGTGCACGGTGGGCGACAAGCTCTATGTCATCGGGGGCAACCACTTCCGGGGCACCAGTGACTACGATGATGTGCTCAGCTGCGAATATTACTCCCCGACGCTGGACCAGTGGACTCCGATTGCGGCCATGCTCCGGGGCCAGAGTGACGTTGGGGTGGCCGTTTTTGAGAACAAGATCTACGTGGTCGGAGGCTATTCATGGAACAACCGCTGCATGGTGGAAATCGTTCAGAAGTACGACCCGGAGAAGGACGAGTGGCACAAGGTCTTTGACCTCCCAGAGTCCCTGGGGGGCATCCGGGCCTGCACGCTGACAGTTTTCCCCCCTGAGGACAATCTAGCTTCGCCTTCGCGGGAGTCGCCTCTTTCGGCGCCTTGAGAGCGGTCCGGGGGCTTGCTGGGCCCTTCCTCTCCCTCTGCTCCCGCTGCACCATGGGTCCTCTCCTCGTCTTCTTCGGCAGTTTCTGTGTGGCTCACCCTGAAGCTGTTGGCAAATAATGGGTGGGGTGGGTTGGGGGGCTCCAAGGAGAGCCGTGAAGCTTCCCCTGTTGTTTGGTCCAAGGTGTTTCTCGCAGTAGGCCTGGAAAGAGCTGAACTCCGTGTCTCCGGGAGCCAAATGCTTAACGAATGAGGAAAAAACTCTTCGGTTTTCAAAACGCTTCAGGCACCTTGCGCATCACTCTTGGGGCAGCGTAACTTGCAGGAGAGGGGAAGAAGAAGATGGAGCAAATGGCAAGTGCAGGGCCCCTTGGCTAAGCCTGGAGGGTCATGGGTGGGGAGAAGGGCCCCAGCTGCCCCCCTTCTGAATGGAGCGTTTTAGACTTCTGGACCGTGGCTCAGCACGAAATGGCCTTGCGGGAGTTTGGAAGCAGTGAAGGAGGGCACCTGCAGAGAGCTTGGGTCTGTACATCTGGGGGGGGGCTTACCCTCTCCTGCCCTCCCCACATTAAAAACATGAAGCATTAACTGAGGGTTTTTGTTCTTTTTCTCTCTGCCTTCCCTCCCCCTCTCCCTCTCCTTCAGTGATTTGGGGACCCAGTTAGATCTCTGCACTGGATTTCAAAAGAGACAAGGGCTAGAACTCTCACTGGCGAAGCTGCTCCACTTTTGACCAGGCAGTTCCCTCCGGATGAAAATGCATCTGTCCATCTTGCCCCCCCCTTCCCCCCCCCGGTCCCTCTGCCTCTGAGCCCTCCGTATAAAATCTCAGTTCAGACAGTTTAGCACAAACACAGCTTGGACAGAGCTGCTTTTGCTCAGAGAATTCAGGCTACCCTGTTTCTTTTGTTCAATAAAATCTTTAACTGCAATTACTTGGGAGTTTGTTCTTGAAAGAAAGGACTCCTTTCTCTTCTTCTGGCACTCTCGCCTCCCGTTGCCAGGTAACACTTATGTGTATGTTGTGTGCTGTGTGGGAAGCACAGCCGGCTGGGCTCTGGCTCTGCAGGAGCTTCCGAAGGGGAGGCTCGGCCTACTTTTCCCCAAACTCCTGGCACACCCGAGCAGAACCTGTGGGGGATCCAGTCTTTGCGTGGGACAGGCACCGCCCACAGGGGGGCTTTGCTGGCCGTCTGTGGCTGGCCTGTATTGCAGGGCTGTGTGGGGAAAGAAGGGGGGGTTCTTTCAGAGGACTGGTGCCCCAGGATCACCCAGAACACTCTGTCGAAAGCTCTACTCATGGTGTGATGGGCGACAAACCCATTTAATCAGTAAATAAATAAACATTACCGTTATCCCACTCTTGCTAGTTCCTTTCAGACCCAGCCTTCCTTCTCTAAACACGGAAAACACGGAAGCTTTTTTTAAGGCTGGCTTTATTCAGGTTTTGCTTTGTGCAATGCAGAACTGTGTCGGCCGTCTTTCTGGTCCAAAGGGGTCTAGCCTGGCAGATTTAACTGCTGAGTCAGCTCTTGGGTGCTGAGCCTGGTCATCCAGTTCAAAAGCAGAGTCAGGTGTGCAATTTTGCACTTGCTGTCTAGAACAATGATGGCCAAAGCCAGGAGAACGCTGGTTCTCTAGAGGTAAAATACGATCCTCAGCAGCTCTGACCAGCCTGGCCATTCGTGAAGGATGCCTCTAATTGTAACTTGTCAACATTAGGAATCATTTCTGACCTGTGGAATTAATGACAGCCATTTGTCTGGTCATCTTTGCAGATGTGTAGACCAGGAAGGTCCAACCCTGGCAACTTTAAGACCAGGCTGCCATGGCTGCACATCCCTGGCTTAGACCCAGTGCCTGCTTGGGGTAATCTTCCTTTCTCTTTCAAAGTTGCTCTGCCTTCTCTTTCTCCTCCATTCATTCCTGGCATACTCAGCTGCTCTGGGAGGATCTCGTGTTGGGGAAGCGGCTTCTGCACTCCTTATATATTTAAGCCCTCCCAGGGGTGGCTGTTTCACTGGGGGGGGGGGGGACTAAGCGCAGCTGCAGGAAGCTGCTGGTCCAGCTGTCGACACCTGATCTCTTGGAGCTCTGCAGGAACTGGCAGGGAGGATTTCTGAGCCTCCCTTGGGGTTTGGTCTGATTCGGTACATTCAAGCGTTCCTGGGCCAAGGTTTTATTGACTTCGCAAATTGGGCTTACCAGAGTTTTGTTCTCCCAAAAAATCCCCCCTGAACCCTTTGCTTGATGCTCCTGAGCTTTGAGCAACTTGGTTTCCTGGCCTGGTGTTGACTCTGGTGCCCACCATCTCCCCACTCCCTCCTCCGATTCTCGGTTCTGTCAGTCGGGAGCCAAAAACAGCCGGATGCCAAGAGGGAATTCTGCAATCCCTCTGTGACAGGAGCCAGAAATGTTGCACAAAGTCATCAAGGCAGAGAGAGTTGGGATCTAATCTGAACACAAGTCTGTAGGGTGTGTGTGTGTGGAGGAAACAACGCTGGTGGAAGAGGAGAAAGGATCTGGGAACAAGCACTCATTTCTTTTAAATGTCAGTCGAATTTTCTGCTTTGTGGAAGCAAGGAGTCAGCTCATGAAAAAACGCTTTCTACCAACCACACCACTCCTCCCCTCACAGGAAAAGCAGCAAATGGTTTGGGGGGGGTTGTCTCCCCATAATTTGGACTGTTGAGTTTTGCTGGGAAGACAAGGCTGCCCAGCTCCAGAGCAGGGGCAGCGGGCATCCTCCAGAGGGCATCGTCTGGGAACTTTGCAGCCACAAGAAAGTGACGGGTCATTTCAAACACTTAATACAGCAAAAAGGGGAACCGATTCCCTAGTTGGCCAGTCGGTATTTCAGAAAGAGAAAGAACTGGCATTCAACGGCCACCAAGTTTAGGAGTTAAAACTAGATTTATGAGAGAAAGTTGCATTCGGTAACCTAGGCAGGACTTTTAAATTCTCTCTCAAAAGATGGACAGAAAATGGGACACAGCAGAACAATAAATCCAAGTGAGACCCACAGGAGCTGGGCTGAGTCCAACCCACGAATCTCCAGCCATCACTTTGCTGAGTCAAATAAGCTGCATAGCGATTCGTGGAAATGGCTGGTATTTTCCTCCAACCCTGCCTAGCTTCTCATCCAGCTGCCGAGATGTTTTTGCGCAAGACAATTTTTCATCCTGAACAGACTGTATCAAGTTTTATTTCAGGTTACAGGTCTTGGAAGGGCCCCCAAGGGGGCTCTGCCTTCCACCGCTGAACCCCCTTATGATGAGTTTGCCTTCACCGTTCCAACCCTTGTTAGATCTTCCTGGGCTTCTCTCTCTTCTCTGTGCTAATAGCCCTTCCAGTCCTCCTCCTCAGTTGTTCTTCTTTCTCCTCTGATCCAGTCCTAAAGCATCTAAGAATTCCTAAAGCATTTGAAGAAGGACCACATTCTTTGTGGGAGCATCTGCATTTCCAGGAATTGGGATCCATCGTATAGGATTAGTTGGACTCCTGGAAGGGCTGGATGACCTTCAAAGGGAAGATCAGTGATGTTCCAACGTAAGCTGATCATTGTGTTCCAGAAGAGCCTGTCTTCTATGGGGATGAAGGTCCAGGACTCTATAGCCTCAAGGGACCATCTGCTGGGAGACTGGTGGGCTTCCTCCTCATGCAGCTGGTGGCCACTGGGAGACCAACTGCTGGGCTAGAGGAACTGGGGCCCAAGCCAGCACAGCACGGCCTGCCTTCCTATATTTTTTGGCTGTGACTGGCTAACTCGACTGCCCAAAAAGGCCATTAGGAGTCAGAGCTGATTCATGTGGCTGATTCCCGAACAAGCCTTCGTTCCTCGTCAGTTCTTCCTGCTTGGGGCTAATGCCAACATCTGAGCTTGGGCTTCCGAAGAAAAACCAGCCATTCAATTAATCATCTTTATTTCCTGTAGCCTTTATTTATACCCCAGAGGTCTAGAAGGCGACAACACTCTGTTAAAATGTATTCCAAACGATGCTCTGCAGGTATTTGCATAGTCCTTAATGCCAGTTTATTATTAAAAGGCTGGAGCAGCTCGAGATTGAAGTTGGCCCTGATGCTGGGATGATTTAATACACTTAATGGGGCTTCATTGCCACCAAAAAATGCAAACTAAAACAAGATTTCGGGAAGGGGCTGCTTAGATGCTGTGAGCTCCGCCCGCAAACGACTTCAGAGATTAAATTCTTGCAGAATATTTGGGGAAGCCGAGCTGAGCTCCGTGTGGATTAGCCCAGGTAAGGGGGGGGGCGTGGAAAGGGATGACAAGGGACAGTTGGGCTTCCATTGCTGGAAAGAAGCATCAGTTGCAATTCAATTTCTTTCCATCTCTATTCCGTGGGATAAATAAAAATTGTACACTAAATGGCCTAACAACAATAAAGGGGGGGGGGAACCTATGGGCATGGATAGTTTTGGTGCCCTGTCCTGTGCCTTTCCTGGACCTCCACCACTTCCAGCTTGTATCAAAAGCCTTCAGGGCCCATTAGGGTATTTTGGGCTAGATGGGGCTGGGGGCTGTCTTTGAAAAGGCAACCGGAGATGAGTTTCTCTGTTTTTTGTAACTCTCCTACCTACTGTAGATTGCAGGGAGAGGTGGAGAGAGGCCTTACCAGCTTGTCTTATGCCAGACGCTGTAGTAGGTGGCAGCATTTAGCTGACTTGATTGAGCCCAGAGCTAAGCAGTGCCAGATCTGGTTAACAAGCGGAAGGGACACCACTAGGAAACCCCAGGATTTTAGGAGAGCTGGAGAAGACAGAAGTCCCTGCTGGAAGAAGGCAGAGGCAAAAATGGCAAAGCCTATTGCCAAAATTAAGTGCTGGAGTCCGAGGCGAGTCCACAATGCAGAGCCTGCAAGTTGACCACCACAATGAAACAGAAGATTTTGTCTTTGCCTCGGCTCAGCTTGGCTCTGCTCCATCTATTCCCCCCTTCCTCCCCTCCCCCCCTGCTCTGAGATTCAGTGGAAAAAAAGCAGCACCCACTGTCTTTCCGGCAGATCCAGCTCACCAGCCCTTCTGGGTCACAGGTTAATAGGATCACTGATCCTGACGTCATTCTCCACCAGTTTCAAATGTCAGCTTTTGTGGCTCAGGGGCTGCTTGTCAGCAGAGGCCAACAGAGAGGAAGGAGAAAGGGAAGGGGAGTTTGGGGGTGACTCCTGGCCCTCCGGCAAGGAGTGGAAAAGGGGCAACCTTTCCATGAATGGCTTGGCTGGCCTTTGCTGACGTGGGTTTGCATCATGAATGAAAAACCCATTGGGAGATCAGAAGACACCCAGGGCTTTGTTGGGCAGAGGGGAGAGGCTGTGTGCTTGTGGGTATGAGTGTGTAGCGCTCTCTCTCTGCCTCTCTCTCCCTCTGCCTCCTCCGCCTCCTCCGTGTTCTCGCTCTGGAAGGGTGCCTGGAACCGGAGGCCACATTGTCTCATTAAAAGTGTGAAGCTGCTGCCCGTTGCATCAAAACATTGTGGCACGAAAAGCAAACGCACCATTGTTCAGTGTGCGTGCCAGTTAACTATTGAAAATCATGCTTGCTCCCTCACGCACGCCCTCCGTGCACTATTGACATAGATTTCATGTGACGGCGACATGAAAATTAGCCCCCCACGTTACTCCAGCATCTCCGTGAGATGAAGGCGGTCTTGGCAGATGGTTTGCTAACCAGGCAGCCGGCTTGTGGTGTGGCGACTGGCCTGGCTTCGGGCAGTGTTTGCACATTGGAAGGAGGCAAATGTCCCCTTGCTGCCTCCTCCTCCTGTGCAATGCTGTCCCAGTTTGGTCAAAGGTGAGGATGTACTGAAGGATGCGTCATATTAAAGGAACAGGATCTGGGCACGCTTTTATATAAATGTCGGCTGTATGTTTTGAGGTGTGTGCTGTAGGGCTGGAAGAGGGTGGGAAAGAGGTTTCAT